TGGTCATCATTTCAATTTTGAGAGATTGACCAAAACTCTAGTCATTGATATCACCATCACCATCGTAAATGTACTTATTTGGTCTTGAAACCCACTGGGAAACAGTAAAACAGTGGGTTTTGCAAGGTAGGAAGAGGACTGAGTAGAGGGTAGTTTCTTACACTGGAACATCCTGTTTACAGGGAAAAAAACAAAAGCTGGTCTGTTCTAGGATCCATGTGTTTCCTTAAAGTCTCAATTTGATTATGTCACATTTAGCATGAGTGACTCCATTTTGGTTTGGTCTGTTGGGGCCTTTTAAGTCCTCTTAAATCTCTTATTACCTGACTTTAGCCAGGTCAAACAGCCAATATTTCTTGTTTTTGAACTTTACAATGGTAACCTCCCAGGTGAAACCAATAATTCTTAACTAAGGTTATGACTTAACCACAAGTGTACAAGGTATTTTCAAAGAGGTGGTTAGCAGTTTTACAAGATCTAGAATCTCCAAAGGTAGCTCAGAGAAAGGAAGATTCAAGGAAGGAAGCTGGAAGTTGCATCTGCAGGGGCAGAGAATCAACAAATGGTAAAGGTTACGCAGATATCAACCAGAAAGTACTCATTCCCTAAGCCAGGATTGAACCTGGGCTGCCATTGTAAAATGGCAAAATCTTAGCTGCTGAGCTATAGCTTTGGGGGGTTTCCATTGCTCTTCCCAGAAGGAGCCTAGAGTAGTCAATTTTGAGCTTGCAAAGGCTTTTAACTGCTCAAGATAATTTTTAGAGCTAACTATTATGAATTCCAAAATTCCGGTTTCCTGGATGGCAGAGACCAAGACAATGTACCACCATACGGTTACAAGGTCAGGCTCCCAAGGACATAAAACAAGATGAGAGGGAAACGTCATCCAGTTTTTTTGTTGTTGTTGTTTCAGGGACCTGCAGCAAACTTTATAACTGACCAGTTAGCTGGGCTGGCTTGAACAATGAGCTTATGGGGGTCTTAGGCCTGCGTTCTATCCTATGGTAGTATCCCTTTTTATGACAGAACCATGCAGAAAGACAAATTCATAGCACAAAGTACATCAGATTTGCTACAGCTTAAGACTAGCTTCATAAATCTATTTTCCTATTAATCAAAACTTTACAGGTGAGCTAAACAGTGATTTTTACCATTCATTCAACCAGTTTGCTCAGAAAGCGAGAGGCCCGAAGTCTGACTGGTAAGAAATAGCCTTTTTGATGGCATGCCAGGTTTCTGGATTCCCTATCCCTGAGCGGTGCCAGTGACCCTGCTAGCGGCTCCATTTTTTACCTCAAATATTGGCTTTGCTCTCAGGTTCCCTTGATCAACTTAGCCAATGATTTTTTTCCCTACCTTAGCATGCAAGAGAAATGAAACAAAGGGATAGAACACAAAAATCCCGGGCTGGGCATGGTAGCTTATGCCTGTAATCCCAGCACTTTGGGAGGCTGAGGCAGGCGGATCACGAGGTCAGGAGTTCAAGACCAGCCTGGCCAAGATGGTGAAACCCCGTCTCTACTAAAACTACAAAAATTAGCTGGGCGCGGTGGCAGGCCCCTGTAATCCCAGCTACTCAGGAGACTGAGGCAGGACAATCACTTGAACCTGAGCAGCAGAGGTTGCAGTGAGCCGAGATCATGCCACTGCACTCCAGCCTAGGTGACAGAGTCTCAAAACAAACAAACAAAAAACCACAAAAATCCCTGTGAATTTTCAAAGGCCAAGTTTTATACCCCCTGCAATATTGCCATTTACTACTGGGTTCTTTCTGACCCAGTCAGATGTAATAGGCCTCTAATTGGATCCAAGCCAGTTAATTACCAGATCCAATCCGATCCTGGACCCAGTTCAGTTTCTGTCACGATTTCCAAACCAGTTCGGATCAGAAATTTGCTCAAAGAAACAAAGAGAACTCCAAACACAAATCTGTGGCGCTTTGGAACCTGAGAGAGAACTTACCATGATCCCCAGCTGCTCCAAGAGAGAAATGGACACAATGGATCCAGCAGGTGCCTTGCTTGGTCACTCAGCGCTCCTGGGGTTGTTAGAAGCTCTACTTCGAATCCCACTTTTGAGGCCATCTGAAAAAAGAAAAACTTCAGCTGAATTAAATTTAAAGGAATTTAATTGAGCAATGAACAATTTGCAAATTCGGCAATCTCCTGAGCCAGAATAAGGTCTGACTCCAGTACAGCCACACAGTGGAAGATTTATGGACAGCAAAGGGAAAGTGATGCACAGAAAATGGAAGCGAGGTGCAGAAACAGCTGGATTGGTTACAGGTTGGCGTTGGCCTCGTTTGAACACGGTTTGAACAATTGGCTACATTTGATTGGCCAAAACTCAGTGATTGGCACACGTCTGGGCCACAGTCTGTTTACACCCCCACTTGTTATAGCTCACGATGTAAAGATAAACCTTTAGGCTAAACTTAAAATATGTAAGACGACAGTTTTAGGGTAAACTTGATTTAACACATGACATTTTCCAGAGAGCCATGCCCCATAAATATACACATTTCAAGTTTGTTTACCATAAATAATGCCAGATGAACCAAGTACATTCTCCTGAAAGCATTCCATAGATAAGGACTGTCCCACTAGTTTCATATTATTAGTATGTTTGCCAAGAAGTCTGTTATTAGCATGGGTACAAGGAGATTTGAGTAACTCACTTTTTTTTTTCTTTCCCAGGAAACCCTTCAGTTGGAGAGACTGGATTGCAGCTTGCTGCTAACCCTTTCCTTCCTAGCTTCCAAAGAACAGGAGTGGGAGACAGTGCCTTCTGTGTTTGTGTGTGGCTGCTCAGATTGTGGTAGCTATGGGGCACTGGGGAGAATGAGGGTTTTAGAGTTGGACATACAGACAGATGGCTTAACCAACTGGAGCTCAAATCTCAGCCATCCCCTTTTGTGTTACATTAGGGAGTTATTACAGCTGTCACATCATCTGAAGAATAAGAATACTATCTACCTCATTGGTTTATTTTTATAAGCATGGAGTCTTTTTTGCATGAAAATACTTTTTAGCTTTAACAAGCTATACCCATGTACTATATTATTGTTGTTATCAGTAGATGTCTATAGCCCTTTCTACTTGGATGTCCATTTGTGGCCTGTTCCAAGGTTGGTGGCTCTGGATTCTTGGCTATAAGGCCTTATAGTGGTTGAAGCTCTGTGTTGGCAGCAAGACATCCTGGATGACAGAAATCCTTTGTTTTGGGAACAGCCTAGACCCAGGTCTACTTTTAGAGCACCACGGTTTTCATTATATTTATTTTCCCAGTCTACAATTTTGCATATTTGTATAAAAATAATAACAGCTGGCCGGGTACTATAGCTCATGCCTGTAATCCCAGCATATTGGGAGGCCAAGACAGGAGGATCACTTGAGCCCAGGAATTTGAGACCAGCCTGCGCAACATGGTGGAACCCCATCTCTATAAAAAATACAAAAATTAGCCGGGTGTGGTGGCACGTGTCTAGTCCCAGCTACTTGAGAAGCTGAGGTGGGAGGATTGCTTGAGCCAAGGAGGTGGAGGTTGCAGTGAGCTGAGATCACACCACTGCACTCCAGCCCGGGTAATAGAGAGAGACCCTGTCTCAAAATAAAATAAAATAAACAGCTAACAATATTGAGCACTTATTACATGCTAAATACTTTTCCATGCCCTTTAAGTATAGTATCCAATTTAATCCTCCCAACAACCTAATGAGGTCATTTTTTCTTTTTAATATTTTAATTATTACAGAAATAAACATACATATTCAAAATGTTATGTTCTGCTTTGATCAATTAGTGATAGATTATACAAATTTTTCCATGTTATTGTCACCATGATTATTTTTTAAGAAGTTGTTTTTCAGACATTTAGACTGTTTCTAATTTTTCACAGAGATAAAACCATAAAGAACATAATTTTTCATAAAAATTATACTTACCTAAATCTGTCTTTTAACTTTGTTCCTGTAGGTTTTTTCCTATTTGTGGAAATTATACATACATGTAGAAAAGTTCATGTAAGTGTTCAGCTCAGTGAATTGCCACAATAAAATATTACCCGCATCTAAAGCCCCCCTCATGTTTTCTTCCAGTAATTATGCCATCACGCTCCACTCTTGTGTTTGGCTTCTTTTGTTCAACATTCATCCGTATTGTTGTGTCTAGTTATAGTTTGGTTCATCTCAAAGAAGGTAGGAATTATTATTAACCATACTTTATAGGTTAAGAAACTGAGTCACAGAAAGGTCAAATAGCTTACTCGGAATCATATACTAGAAAGTGGTAGAGCCAGAATTTGAACCCAAGTAATCTGACTCTGTTCTGTTAACCATTATGCTAGACTGCAGCTAATAACTATTTAATGTCCATCTTCCCCACTATGCTGCAAGTTCCATTTAATACCCAGCACCTAGCACCTAGACATAACAGGTGACCAATAAATATTTCTGACTGAATGAATGAAGAATGAATGAATGAATGAATACCAGATAGGCCTGCTTTTGTGATTCAGTGCTTCTGCCTAGGTTGCTAGAAATGCCTCTGAAGGTTCAGGATCTTCCTTTTCTTTACCTTGATTATGGGCACCTCTTCAGAATCACTCTTACTACCTGCAGTCGCAGCCTGCTGATATTCCTTCTGCAGTAGCACACAGCAGCCTGTGTGACTCTATTGGGAGAGGACTCTGGAAGCTTCCATGTTGAAGGAAGATTTGCTTCCGGGTCTAGACCTTGGAGAGCTCCTGGGCCTCATCTTGTCCTTCCACAAGAGGGAGACACAGGATAATACTATTTGATTGCTGCCCCAGGAGTTGGAATGGCCCCTATATAAGTTCATGCTTCTACAAATCCTGGAGCAGTTGAAAATGCTTCCTGTACTCTTAACCCTCAGCTTCCTGTACAGAATTTTGATGTCCATGGACAGTTGGTCTCTTGACATTTATGGTAGTCTTTTGTTTTTTTTTTTCTTTCTTTGTTTACCGGTGAATCTTGTACTTACGATATTACTGAAGCAGGGATACTCAGGAACCACTTTCAGGTGTATTCCATACAATGCAATGTGAGATTGACTGTAGGATTTGTGCATCCCAGGCCTGTGCTGGATTGATTGCACTCTTCTCCCCCACTGTACTTAGTGAGACTTTGAGAAATGGCCCACCTTCTCCTCTGAAAATTGCCTTTAAAGGAATTAGTTTAAACCAACTGTCTTAAAACAATTCAGTGATTACTACAGAATTTCCAGAACCAAGAGAATTAGTCCATTTCTCTAATATTTAGATTTCTTCCAACATGCTGAAGCCTGGCACTATGATAGGAAAAAATAAACTTAGCAACAGTTTTTTGTATTATATTGGAGGACACTTTTTCTTAGAACGTTTTAGCCATTATTGTGATGATTCTGCATACTAGGCACAGGTAAACAATTTACATGGAGAAAATCAACCCAAGAGTTAACTATTACTCATTTAGTAGTCTTATTCTCAGCGTTTTCTCCTTATTGAATGAATACTATATTTGATATAGGAAACACATGTTTGGAAGAATGCACATGCCAGCATTATAAGAAAGCAGATTATTGGCACTTTTTGTGGTCTGAGACAAGGGTTGGCAAACTTTTTCACTAAAGGACCAGGTGGTAAATAGGCTGATGACCATACAGTCTCTGTTTTCACATATGCCCCTCTAGAGTGAAAGCAGCCATAAATGCTATGTAAATGACTGGGAATGGCTGTGTTCCAGTAAAACTTTATTTACAAAAGCAATTATATGCTTTATTTAACCTACAGACCATAATTTGCCAACCCCTTGTCTAGGAGGTCCAACAGAAGAAAAAATAATGAAAGGAACCTGTACAACATAAGTTGAGAGATAAGATATATTCCCCAAATTGGTAAATCCTTCATAGAAATATCTATTCTTTCCCATGGTGTTCTAAATAAAGAAGTTGAACATGACAATGAATGTTTTTAAGTGGGGGTATGTGCAGAAAAGAGTAAACATACCATGCCTAATTGCTATCCTTTAAAAAGCCTGCTTTCAGCCAGGCGTGGTGGCTCACGCCTGTAATCCCAGCACTTTGGGAGGCCGAGGCAGGCAGATCACCTGAGGTTGGGAGTTCACCACCAGCCTGGCCAACATGGCAAAACCCTATCTCTTCTAAAAATACAAAAATTAGCTGGGTGTCATGGTGCATACCTGCGATCCCAGCTAGGCTAGTTGGGAGGCTGAGGCAGGAGAATCGCTTGAACCTGGGAGGCGGAGGTCGCAGTGAGCTGAGATCGCGCCACTGCACTCTAGCCTGGGTGACAGAGTGAGACTCCATCTCAAGAAAGGAAGGAAAGAAAAGAAAGAAAGAAAGAAAGTCTGCTTGCAAGGTTGGCCATTGATTGGTGTTGAGCAACTTAGATTTTGGGGAGGGTTTTCACCCTAACTGGTAAGAGTGGTTCACTGTGCATAAACTGTGCAAACAATATGATTTGTGCTGAACCCCTGCTTTCCTTCCGGGAGTCTAGAATTTGGGAAGGTGCTAGGCAAAGGCTACCTATGTGACCAGCCTCTGATAAGAGCCCTGATTGCTGGGTCTCTAATGAGCTCACCTGGTTGGTGACATTTCAAGCATGTTATCACAACTCATTGATGGGGGGGAATTAAGCATGTCCTGTGTGACTCTGCTGGGAGAGGACTCTGGAAGCTTGTGCATGGTCTTCCCTGGACTTTGTCCCATGTACCCTTCCCCTTTGCTGATGGTTCTTGGTATTCTTTCACTGTAATAAATTGTAGCTGTGAGTGCAACTATATTCTGAGTCCTCTTAGCAAATTGTCAGACCTGAAGGTGGACTTGGGGACCTCCCAACATAAGGTACGTTATTTCCTACCTTGTTCATTTAATATCCTTTCCCTCCAGATGTAAACCAACAACTTGTAGTTTTGGAAATGTTCCTGATCACAGTGACAACACCTGGGTTTAATATAACACAGGGTTTGCAGAATCCTGAGCCTGAAGGGTATGAGAAATTGCAAGACAGCATGTGGTCAAGGCTCCACTAAAAGGAACTCGGTAACCACTTACCAGAAAACTGGTCTGATTCAGCAGAAAAAATAGCTTGATGATAAAACTATGACTGTTTGCGGCTTGTATATCTGGGGTCAACCTAATGACTTAATGGGTCAACACAGGTCCTAAAAACTACAACCAGACTTGGGGCTCAATAAATGGCCTGTGCCCAGCTTTATTACAATGGCCCAATCTGGAACTAACAAGCTTGGCCTTGTTCAACCAATTGGTCTTTGTGAAACTTTGCAGCTTTGCTTTTATAAGACCTACCCTGAAGGTCTCCAGAGGATATGCTCTCCTTGTATATTCCCTAAATGCTGGTAAATTCTCAATACATCAGGCTGGGCATGGTGGCTCACGCCTGAAATCCCAGCACTTTGGGAGACTGAGGCAGGTGGATCTCTCAAGCCCAGGAGTTTGAGACCAGCCCGGGCAACATGGTGAAACTCCATCTCTACAAAAAATACAAAAAATAGTCAGGCATGGTGGTATGTCGCTATATTCCCAGGTACTCAGGAGGCTGAGGCTGGAGGATGGCTTGAGCTCAAGAGGTGGAGGTTGCAGTGAGCCAAGATCAGGCCACTACACTCCAGCCTAGGCAACAGAGCAAGACCCTGTCTCAAAACACAAAAAACAAGCAAGCAAACAAAAAAACTCCTAAAAACAAACAAAGAACTCCTTGGTACTTCAATTTTCAATTGTCTCTGAATGATTCTTTGACAGTTTGAAGATTCCATCCCACAGGACCTAATCCTGCTGTATTGGATCAGGTTTTCCCTAATCTTGTCCATCACTAAACTCATTTTAGTGCTCGCCATGTCTCAGAGTTTTCATATTTCTTTTATTAGTGGTGACCTCAAAGATTGTGTGGAAGGAAACATGGGATGATCTGAATCATGCCAATGTCACTGAAACTGCCTTTGCAAAAATTGTGAGAAAATTAGGACACTGAAAGAGATCCGACCTAATCGACTCCATATTGCTTTTAACCTCCAAATTGCCCTGTTCATTCCTGGGTGTAGGCTGAACTGACCATAGGAGGGATTTAATTTATATTTTAACTGTGAAACAAAGATGATAACAGCCCTTTCCCAGAAACAAACTCCCTCCTTGCCTACCGATAAGACTGCCTTTATAAAACTAACAAATCAGCTGCAAAATTAGAAATTATGGTTTAAGAGTCATGCAGCCAGAGGCCTCAAGATTCCTAACCTCCCCAATTGCTCCTAAGGATAACATCACTATTGTGAAACCTAAGATTGGTGTTTGAAGTATTTTTCAGACCCTGCATTCTAATAGACCAGTTGGTGCCACCCAGACTATATGTGGTCATCTGCCTAATATATTTACCAGCTGGTCCATTAGTGAAAAAGTTTGCCAGCCCTTGCTTGGACCACAAAAAGTTTAAATAATCTGCTTTCATATAATGGTAGCATGTGTATTCTTCCAAACATGTGGTCTTGTGGCTTCCACCCAGAAACTGACTCAGTGCAAGAGGACAGCTCCGGCCCCTTATAATTTCATCCCTGACCAACCAATAAACATTCCCCATTCTCTAGCCCCTGCACAAAAAAGTATCTTTAAAAAAAACCCCTAGCCTCCACATGCTGGGAGAGGTTGATTTAAGTAATAATAAAACTCCAGTCTTCCATTTAGCTGGCTCTACGTACATTAAACTCTTTCTCTATTGCAATTCCCATCTTGATAAATCAGATCTATCTGGACAGTGGACAAGATGAACCCATCAGGCGGTTATATCACCGACTGGAAAATCAAGAAAACCACCAAGATGAACACACACAGCGAAGGAGAGGAAGATGAAATCCAGAATTTGGCTTGTCCAACTGCAGTGGTGCTTACAACTAATTGATCAGTTAGAGATTTCCTTGTTCCTTCTTCATTCCTATTCCTTCACTTGACTAGCCTTTAAAAAAAAACAAAAGAAAAGAAAAGAAAATCCAAGAAGACAAGGTGAGAATGAACCCTGGACCAACCAAAGCCTGCACATGGCTTCATCCTATGCCTATGTCCCGCTGCTACCATGCCCAAGAGAAAGGCCAAAGGGGAAGCTAAAGGAGATAAAGCCAAAGTGAGGACAAACCACAGAGAAGGCTGTCTGCTAAACCTGCTCCTCCAAAGCCAGAGCCCAAGCCTAAAAAGGCCTCTGCAAAGAAAGGAGAGAAGATATCCAAAGGGAAAAAGGGCAAGGCTGATGCTGGCAAGGAAGGGAATAACCCTGCAGAAAATGGAGATGCCAAACACAGCAGGCACAGAGAGCTGAAGCTGCCGGAGATGCCAAGGGGAGTGTGTGTATTTTTGATAACTGTGTACTTCTGGTGACTACAGTTTGAAATACTATGTCACTAACAGAAAGTCTCCGAAGCTTTACTGATGTGGGGAAAACGGCTTTCCCAAGACTTCCTCTTGGCTCCCAGGAGGAGGGACTCCCTGACTTTGACACACATGGTCACCTTGGCATTTCAAAAGCCTTGTGTTATGAAAAAAAATTCCTTTTTATGGCCTCTTTTCCCTTTCCATCTTTCAGCACAGACTGAACTTCCTTAAACCTAGACATCTGTTGGAACCTGACCCCCAGTCATTGGTCACCAGTGGGTCAGGCAATCTGGACTTTCCAGTGATGCCACTGAGATAGCACCCCTCAAAACAGCAGTAGTTCCATTTCTAGATGGTGGATCTTCAGATAAATTCTGCTATTTTCATTTCACTTCCTGAAAGTCAGGGTCAGCTCGTGAAAAATTGTTAAACAACATGCTAAATGTGAAATGTCAACCCTCACTCTAAACTTTTCCTGTTCAGAGCATCAGACAAAGACTTCGTTGGATTTTATAGTGGCTTTCTGAATTTTGGTAGTCCATTGAAGAAGGGAGTTTGAAAGTTGTATACTGTTAATGATTGTCTGCCCATGTCTACCTGAAATACCATGATTATTTATGGAAAGTATCTTTAATAAAGCTGGATACAGTTTGGCTTGGAAAAAAAAAAAAACCAAAAAATAAAAAAAAAAAAAAAAA